TGGGGCCACGATCCCTAACACATTGCACCATATTCTCGCTGCCGAGGCCACAATCCCTTGAAAATTGCACCTTGGTCGGGCTGCCGAAGCAACAATCCTTTACACTGTGCACCGTATTCGCGCTGCCGTGGCCACAATCTTACGAATTGCACAAGATTCGCGCTGCCGAGACCGCAATACCTTGCAAATTGTGACATGGTCGCGCTGCTGAGGCAACAATCCCTTTGCAACTTGCACAACATTCGTGTGCCTGACGCCACGATCCCTGGTAGATTGAACAATTTCCGCGCTCTCGAGGCAACAATCCATTTTAACTTGTCCAGATTCGCATCCCCGAGGCCACGATCGCTTGCACATTACACAATATTCGCGTCTCCGAGGCCACGAGCCCTTGAAAATTAGACAATCTTCGCGTCCCCGAGGCGACGCTCGCTTGTAAATTACGCCATGTTCCCGTCCGCGAAGCCACGTTTCCTCGTAACATACGCCAAGGGACCCCAAGACCGTCGAAGCCGCGCGATTGTGTCCGACGTAGCCTCAGGCAGCCCACAGTCGTTCTAAGTGGGTAGCCGATGCACAGCGTGAGAGGAAGTTCGCAAAAGGCAGCACAGAGTTCAGCGCTACCATTTGAATCTCAATTTGTCTTGAAAATTACCCATGTCCTCGCACGAGGTTCCGATACTGCTTCACGACGGCGCCCAGGCATCCCAACATGGCTCCTGTATATGACGATGCAAAGGGGGTCGGCGGCAGAGGGTTGGGCCGCGCGAGGCCACTCTGACAAAGTGCCTGGTAGGATTCGCCTGGGCCTGGTAAACATCTCCCTGAAGTCCCTCCTCTGGACCTCCACTCTGTCGGCGGTCCCTCGCAGACCCCCCCAAGTCGAAGCTTTCAAGAAATCCCAAGGACCCCAAGACGACCCTATAGAGCCCCAAGACGGCCCCCAAGAGGGTCCAAGAAGGCTCCACGTCACCGACAGACCGCCCCAAGACGCCCAAGATGGCCTTGAGACGGTCCACGATGCTCCCAAGACGCCACAAGAGGGCCTCCTAAGGGAAACGTGTACTTTTAGCATGTGCGACTTGTGGGATTCTGAGCGTCCACGACGAGCCTACAAGCCCCAAAGATCGCCCCAAGATCGCCCCAGAGACCCCGAAGAGGGCCACAAGACGTGCCAAGACGGCCCCAAGACGGCCCAAGACGCGCCGAAGACGGCCCATGACAGCCCCAAGCGGGCCCTAGATCAAGAACTCGACATTACATGTCCAACTTTCTGCTCAAACGGGACCTCCCAGACCGCCAGCAGGCCTCCAAGAAGCCCCCCAGAGGAACAACAGATGCCCCAAGAGGACCCCAAACGGCCCCCGAGAGCCCCCAAAGAAGCTTCAAAACTGCTTCCATGAGACTGCCGAACAGATGCGCCAAACTCCCAGGGAGCGGCTGGTGATGCGCCGCCGGTAACAACCACACCCCGAACAATAGAAGGACAGGGGGTAAACAACAGACACAACATATCTGGTGTTCATCGCTTCATTGAGAACAAAAACCATCCTCCCCCTCTTCCCTCCGCATCCTCGCTTGACCCGCTTCATGCTGCTCCTCATCCTTCCTGCCGATGTTTCTCCCTGCTCCCCTCTCCGTTATCATCCACGTGCCCTCCCTCCACCGCATGCATGACCTTCTCGGACGCTTCCATTCCAGGAGGAGGAGGAAGAAGAAGAAGAAGACGAGGAGGAGGAGGAGGAGGAAGAGGAAGAGGAGGAGGGGGAGGGGGAGAGGGAGCGGCAGGAGGGGGATAAGGAGGAGGACGAGCAGGAGGATGAGGAGGAGGAGGAGGAGGAGGAGGAGGAGCAGCAGGAGGAGGAGGAGGAAGAAGAGGAGGAGAAGGAGGAAGAGGAGGAGAGAGGAGGAGAAGAAGGGGGAGCGGAGGAGGAGGAGGAGGAGGAGGAGGAGGAGGAGGAGGAGGAGGAGGAGGAGGAGGAGGAGGAGGAGAAGGGAGAGCGGAGGAGGAGAAGGAGGGGAATGCGGAGGACCTTGGGGCGGGGTGGGGAACGAATCGGCAACTGAAAGAGGAGGAGGAGGAGGAGGAGGAGGAGGACAATGCTTTCTCTTATGGTCATCAGTATCATTGTCATTACGTGTGCTTCCCAGGTACCTCCCCGAGTGCTGGTGGCGAGCGCTTACTCTGCTGCTTACCTTCTCAGCTGCCATTAGTTTCTTGCCTGTCCTTGTTTGTAGCGTTCGCCAACTGCCTAAGTTGTTTGCTTCTTCGCTTAGGCCGGCGATTGCTTTCCTTTGCATGAACGCCTCAAACCCGTGCTTCAGGTGCGGAGGAGGAGGACAAGGCAGAGGAGGGAAACGAGGAGGGCTACGGTGAGGGCATTGGATGGGGAACCGCTGGGTAAGGAATCCAGAGTCTGGAAGCTGGTGGAACTCCAACCGCGGACTGGCAATGAATGCCTCCGCCGCCCTCATCAGAGAAGGAATCCCCCAAGACCCGAAGCCGCCCAGGCACCCTCCTTCACGAACTCCCACACCGTAGTTCCTGCTGTGTGACGGGCCTTGCGCGTCAAGGGCCCTGGCGGGCGTGCGCGCTGGGCATGCACGGCCTGTCCGAGCTATAGGGCGTGCTGCATCAGAGGATGGGCATGCAGTGGGGCGACGTCCGTCCCACACCCTTGGCGGCCTGCCTCCGAGAGTCCCTGAACTCTCTGGTTGGCAGTCGAGGTCCTTGCCCTCGAAGCTAGGAGCAAGGAGGAGGAGGAGGAGGAGGAGGAGGAGGACCAGTGCGAACCCAAGGCTCATCCACGGTGCTGGGATACATCCTCCCTCCAAGCTCCTCCTTCTTAGGCCCCTACAGGAATACGTGTCCACTGAGGGAAGTGCCCCGTTGGGAGACAACCGTTGGAACGACCTGAAGTGTGCCCAAACAACATTTTCGGGACTTCGACGCCACGTATCAATATGACTGCTGCGTCTTGACGATCCCGAGTCGTGCCAGAACAACGTTCCTGGGACTTCCACACCGCGAATCAGCGTAACTGTGACGCGCTGACAATCTGAACCGTTGCATATTACCCTGTTAACAATGAGGACCCGTGCAATTCTTGCATTGCCGAGCAAAGCCCCGAATCATGTTGGAATATACCAAACACCACGTCTAGGTTGCTGACCATGGGAGCCCGTGGAACTCTTGCAATGTTTTGTTAAACGAATGTTCGCGGCGTTAAAGCGAGAACCACACATTGAAAACGATCCGCCCTCAACCAATGAAACGCGTGCAATCTTGTGAAGCGAATGTGCGCGGCGCTCAAGCGATAACCACAACTCAAAAACGGCCCGCCCCCATTCCGTGAACTCTTGCGATGCTTGAAAACGAACGCGCACGGCGCCAACGCGAGAACCATATTTTTGAGCACATCCCCCGCCCTCCATCCGCGAACTCTTGCGATGCTTTGCAGCAAGTGTGCGCGGTGCCAAGGCGAGCACCACATGCTGAAAACCAGCCGCCCCCCCCATCCGCGAAGCCCTTGGAAATTTCAAGTTGCAGAGTCATAAAAGGGAGAGGAAGCCTTGAGCGAAACGCCTGGCCCGCCGTTTCGACCAGCCTCGGGGTGCGACAAGGGGGGGGGGTCATTTCTAAGGGCGAAGGATGGAAGACCGTGAGCAAACATATTGGATGCGATCTTCTGGGAGGTCTTCGACAGAACGACCACGGCCTATCGAGCCAGATTGAGGGGGCCATCGAGCTGGAACGCGTCACACTAAGCCCAAACTTCGCGGGACTCAGCCCTATTAGGCTGGTCCTCGATTTGGGATATGCCAGCATAGATTCTGAATTCAACCTTCAAGGAGTTGTACCCTAAGCAGCAGCAGAAACCGATTGTCGATTTCAAACATCGAGACGCGCTGCTCTTCAGGCCAGAGGGCCAGACACAATATACTGGCTGCCTCGAAGGAGGGTAGGTATGCAACATGGGAGAGGGCGCGCTCCCATACTCTGGTGGCGACACTGGGGCGGCAGGCTGCCATACTCCAGGAGAGAGCGGCCGCATCCCCGAGCGCCTGCACACGCGATCCCTGACGGTGTCGTCGACGCCCTCGAGGCCCAGCCCCGTCTGGACGATGTGCGCCTGGAGATCTCGCTTGGCCCACGTGCAGGGGAGGCCCCCGCGAGGACTGGCACAAGTGCAGGCGCCTCCTCCTCCTCCTCCTCCTCCTCCGCCTCCTCCTCCTCCTCCGCCTCCTCCTCCTCCTCCTCCTCCTCCTCCTCCTCCTCCTCCTCCTCCTCCTCCTCCTCCTCCTCCTCCCCCTCCCGGGCCGGGCGGGGGCCCGATATGCCGTGCCTGACTCCAGCAGCACGGCGCAGCCACAGACGGTTTGCGGGCTCACCAGGGGGGGGGCTCATCCTGCTCCTCGGGTCCCAGAGAAGGCGTCGAGCCTAAGTTCGCGAGTGGTGCGCATTGCTTCTCTTTGGCAGGGATCCGGCGAGCAGGCGAGGCCAATAGCTTCACTCTTGGACGGGTAAAAGGAAGAGGAGGCTTCCCTCCGCGGGAAAACCCACCCCTCGTCGCCCTCCGTATAGCTACCCCCCTCCTCGAATTGTCAACGCGTCTGCCGGATGGCAGACCCTCTGCACGGTCACCTTTTGACTCGATCGGCTCGCTTCCCAGCCCTCTTCGCTTCTCGCTTGCCTCCCCCCTCCCTCGGACAGCGGTGTGCTGCACGCCTCCCAGCCGCAAGACGCCATGAGCATGCGAGAAGACTGCGAGAGCGGGTGGAGCGCCTGTGAGACGAGTGTCATGAAAAGCTGCGAGCTGACTGAGTAGCCTCTGGCCACGACGGGGCAGATCAACTGTCCGTTCTCGCCTTGGCGTGCTGTTGTTGGTCGGTTCCGGCGCCGTTTCCTTTCCGACTGTCGCCGTTCTGCCTTCCGGCTCCGGCTCCGGCTTCCGTCCCAGAGCTGTCTGTCTTTCCGTTTGGGCGAGTTGTTTGTCTTTTACCGTTGGGATCCACGTCTCTGCAAGCGGTGTGGACAAGGGTTGAGTCGGGCGTGCCCCCCTACAGGCGGATCTTGGATGAACAACTAAGAAGTATAGCCCGAACATAATCACAACTATCCCGGAATTGTTTATAAAAATCGTCCCCGGACTCTGTCTTTACTACCTTGGACCATTCCTCCTGTGGAGGGACGGGCCCGACTTCAGACAAGGGCCCTGCCGTTCCCAAGTCGGGCCGGGCGAAAAGGGGGGATAGCAAAGGGGCCCCGGGGGTTTGAGAATCAGCTCACGCAGCTGACATTCCCGGCGCCTCCCGGCGCCGGAGGCGCCCATGTATCGAGGCATGGGCCCCTCGGTGAGGCCGAAATCAGCTGCATGCAGCAGACTTCGTAACCCCCCTTCCCAATCCCCCCCTTTCGCCCGGCCCGACCAAGGGCCGCCGAGGCTGCGAGAGCGCCCTCCGGGGCAGAGCGCGCGCGCGAGAGGCGGAGGCCGCCCGGCGAGGCACCGGCTCTCCCCGGCGGCCCGCGCGCAGCGCGCCTCGGCACACGCCGGCGCCTCCGACCTCGCACCAGCCAGCAGGACGCCCGACAAGCCATGGTGGGCCTGTCGTCCACCACCACCACCATGACATGAGTTGGAGGGGGAGGGGGTCCTCTCCTCCTCCCCCTCCTCCTCCTCCTCCCCTCCTCCTCCTCCTCCTCCCCTCCTCCTCCTCCCCTCCTCCTCCTCCTCCTCCTCCTCCCTCCTCCTCCTCCTCCTCCTCCTCCTCTTCCTCCTCCTCGTCCTGCTTCTTCCTTCCCCCATCCAACTTATGGTGCTGGTGGTGGAAAACAGGCCCATCAAGTCACACCGCTGAAGTACAGCTGGCGCATATCACAAGGATGCGCGATAAGGATGCGAGGGCCTTGGACGCCCATTCCGAAGCTTTTCGAGCGGGGCGCGGCCAACGCAAGTGGCCAAGGATGGACCGAGGAGGCGAGGATGCAAGGGTACCCTTGGGAAGGTTGCTCATCCTTACGATGCGGGCTGACTGCAATTGTCCGCCACCGTGCCTTGAGCACGTAGAGGAGTGACCAAAGGTCATGCAGCCCTGCAGGACTAAGGGGTAGCGAGGTTGCAAGGTTCTCAAGGGCCTGGAAATTATCTTCTGGGAAATCCTTGGGATTCCCAGGAACTTCCGCGGGAGCTTCCGCGAGCTTCCTGGAGCTGCTCAGCCAGCCTCAGGCGACCTTCGTAACTCTCGAGTGTGTTGCAAGAACCGCCTCAGATGGCTATCCTGATCCTCAGAGCGGTCCAAGGCAGCTTCAAGATGGCCCGCTGTGGCCACAAGACGACCCAAGAGGGCCCTGCAAACACCCCCCAAGAGAGCCCCCAGTAGCAACATTCTCTTAGGATTGCGTGCATTTTCAGTGTCTTCGCGCCTTGGGCTCTCACAGCGTCCCAGACCCAAGACGGCTCATGAGGCCCCTAAGATCGGCCCAAGAGGCCCCCCCAAATCGCCCCGAGAGGCCCCCCAGAAGGCTCCAGGACGTCCCAAGGGGGCCCAAAGATGGTGAAAGAGCTAGAGGACCCAAGGCGGCCCCAAGAGAAGCCCCAGATGGGGAACACGAGCGGACATTTCGAGCCGTCGGCCCGAAGAGACCCCCAGGACCCCAAGAGGCCCCCAAGAGGTCCCCAATGGACCCCAAGAGGCCCCAAGAAGCTCCCAAGTGGCCCCAAGACGCCCAAGAGAGGCTTCCACGAGGCCTCCAAGCGGCCCCCGAGACGCCCCCCGCGACATCCCAACGAACATCCTAGAGGCCTATGACAACCAAAGCACGGTGGCGGGATGCGCCGAAGGCCACTACATCCGCCGCCCCCTGTTGACTTGCCACAAGGGTGCCCGGCGTGCTAAATCCTATCGCTCTTGATGTTGGTTCTTTGTCCAAAAGAACTCTCCCCTGCATGGGGCTTCGGCCCGTCCCGCCGGGGTTACCCTCTGGTCGGCTTTTTCGCTTCAGATAACTCAAAATGGCCTCCAAGATGGCCAAGATGGTCAAAAGTGGTCTCTTAGATGCCTCCTCCAAGATGGCCAAGATGGTCCAAGATGGCCTCCTAGACGGCCCAAGAGGGACCAAGATGCCTCCAAGCCGGCCCACGAAGCCTCCAAAACGGCCCAAGAGGCCCCCAAGAGGCCTCCACGACGACCCAAGAAGCCTCCAAGAGGGCCTCCAGGAAGGCCCGAAGAGGCCCAAATCATTGCTGTTCCTTGGATGCCTGAAGGATGTTGTCATTTGCGTTGTTCGGCCTTCCGACGGCCCGAGACGGCCCAAGAGCCCCCAAAGATCGCCCCAAGATCACCAAGGAGGCCTCCAAGATGGCCCCATAACGGCCCACGAGGCCCCGAAGACCGCCCCACGAGGGCCTCAAGACGGCCGAAAAGGCCTCCAAGGCGCCCAAGATGGCCTTCAAGACGGCCCTGGAACACCCCAAGAGGGCCCCCAGTCGACCCAGAGAGGCTCCCAAGGCAGCTTCCGACGGCGTCAGACGGGCCAGGAGCCCACCAAGACGGCCCAAGATGGCTCCAAGGTGGCCCAAGACGGCCCAAGACGGCCCCCAAGAGGCCTCCAAGACGGCCTAAGAGGCCTCCAAGAGGGCCTCCAGGAAGGCCCGAAGAGGCCCAAATCATTGATCGTCCTTGAGTATTTGAAGGATTTGGGCATTTGCTTATTTTCGGCCTTCCGACGGCCCGAGACGGCCCAAGAGCCCCAAAAGACCGCCCGAGAGGCCTCCAGGACGGCCTCAGGACGGCCCAAGAAGCCCCCAAAACGACCTCAAGAGTGCCCCCAGACGGCCCAAGAGGCCTCCAAGACGCCCAAGATGGCCTCCAAGACGGCCCTGGAGCACCCCAAGAAAGTTTCGTCGGCCCAGAGAGGCTCCCAAATCGGCTTCCGACGGCGTCGGACGGGCCAGGCTCCTCCTCCTCCTCCTTCTCCTCCTCCTCCTCCTTCTCCTCCTCCCCCTCCTGCTCCATCTCCTCTTTTTCCTCCTCCTCATTCCTCTTCTTCCTCCTCCTCCTTCTGATCTTCCCCGCCATCCCCCCCAAGTGTTTTCCGAAGGGTTTCCACAACGGTTGGGGGAACACATGGACCGATAGCTTGGCAGAGCTCTTGCCACAACGCGCGGACACATGGGCGATTTCGAACCTCTTGCTCCCCCACGCGTGCCCCGAAAGCTTTCCAAACTGACTTGGGGAACAACTTGCCCGATAGCTTGGCCAGGCTCTAGCCTAGCTGTCGGCCACATAGGTGCTTACACAAGGGCAGGGGGCGGCGGTGACTCGCCGAAGGCGTCTTCGATACAACAGATCCCTGCCGACGTCGGCCAGGGCTCCTGACGCCGTCTGAAACGTTAGCCCTGAACCGTAAACCGCTCAACACCTCTGACGCCAAGAGACTCTCCCCCAAGAGGTCCACAATGGCTTCCACCCCACGCTCCGCATGGATTATCCGCTGCCTGTGAGTCCTAGGGCTCCGGACGCGTTGCTGGCGTCGCCGCCGCGTCTAGGCGGCGCGAGACGGACTCCTGGACCCCTCCCAGAGACCATCCTGACCAACTTTCCGAGCCGAGCCCAGCCGTGGCCATGAGGGGGGGGATTGACAAAAACGGGGACTGGCCAGGGGGGAGGGAGACATCGAGACGACATCGGCGATGCATCGGCGAGGCATGGGCGATGGGCCCCGATGGCGAAGCCGCCCACAGCGGCGATGAATTGGTGAGAGGGGGGTCGACGCAGTCGCCCCCCGAGCCGTTCCCCCCCCCCGGACGCTGGCCCCGAAGCCACCTCGGGGGGCCCTCCAGAGCGCAAAACCTGCCAGGGGAGGAGGAGGAGGAGGAGGAGGAGGAGGAGGAGGAGGAGGAGGAGGAGGAGGAGGCTCAGCATCGAGGCGCCGCCGCCGCGCCGAGGCGGCGCAGACCAGCCGAGCGCTCCTGCGCCCACGGCCTTCGGGCAAACGGCCGACCCTGAAGGAGGGGGACCAGTGCAAACCCAAGACGCATCGACGTTGCTGCAATGGACACTCCCTACACCGTGGCCGGAAGCACCTCATTGGAAAACGACCGTCTTAGATTCCCCATTCGTGCCAAAACAAGGCTCCTGGGACCTCAACGCTGGGAATCAAAGTGACTGCTGCGTCCTGACAATCCAAAGACGCGCCAGGTTGGCATCTGCGAGATTAAAACACCTTGAATCAACGTGAAGATTGCGTCTTGACAATCATCACTCGTGCCCGAACACCACGCCCGGGAATTCAACCGTGCAAACCATTGAAACTGTTGCACACAATTATAAAGAACGTGCGCCGCCCTTACGTCAGAACAACATTATGAAACAGAACCGGCCTCCATCCTTGAAGCTGCTGCAAACTTTTACAACGAATGCGCACGGCACTAAAGCGAGACCCACATTTAGGAACCGCCCTCCATCCTTGAAGCTGCTAAACGCTATCGGGACAACTGTGCGCGACGCTGATGCGGAAAGCCACCTTTGGAAAACGTGCCGCCCTACATTCTGGAAACTGTTTCAACCCATCTCAGGCTCCAGCGTCATAAATGGCGACGAGGTTTCAAGCGGAACGCCGGGCCCGCCCTTCCGACACGTCTGGGCGTGCGACAGGGAGGGGCCAGACACATCCGTGAATAGACATGTATGTCTATACACATAAGACACGCGTGCGCAGGACAGGGAGGACCTCCCTCGGAGCTCAATACGTCTGGAGTCCCAGGCAGTTCGGCGCGGGGCAGCGCCGACAACGCTCGCCTGCTCTCTCCTTGCTATTGTTTCCCCTCTCTCTCTCTCTGTCTCTCAGTTTTTTGGTTTCTCTCTCTCTCTCTCTCTCTCTCTTTCTGTCCCCCTCTTGATGAAGAGAGAGAGAGAGAGAGAGAGAGAGAGAGACATGCATAAAGAGAAAGAGAGGGAGAGAGAGAGAGAGAGAGAGAACAAAAAAAAAGAAGAGAGAGAGCGAGAGAGAGAGAGAGAGAGAGAGATAGAGAGAGAGAGAGAGGGAAGGCCCTGCCGCCCGACCCGACGTCGCGCCTCTCGCGCCCCGCGCCCCCGCGAGAGGCGCGGCGCGCGGAGGCATCTTCGCGCGCCCTGACCGCTGCCGGCCTGCGATCCAGAGGTGGGGCCCCGAGGGGCCCGAAGAGATCCCGGGATGCACTCGCGGTCTCTGAGGCTCTGCAGGGCTCCGTCCCCTTGGGACCCGTCGTTCGACCGCCGACCCTTGAGCCTGCCGAGTTCTCGCCGCCCCCCGAATCGTTTCCGATCGATCCCGCGAGAGGGGCGCGCGCGCGCGGGGAGCGGGCTCCCGCCGGCCACGCTGCGCACAGCCGCCCGCCGGCCACCTCACAGCTGCCCTCGCACGAACTTCTGGATGCGGCCCATGATCATCGCGGAGACGTTCCTGACAGGGGCTTTGGCGGCGAGGAGCAGGGACGGGGGCGGGGGGGCGCGACGGGGGGGCCCTCCCAGAGGCGGGAGGGGTTCTCAGAAGGGCTCGCCCCACAGAGGGCTTCTCAAGCCGCCGAGCCCCTCTGGGATGCCGCCCCTGGCCCGTCAGCGGGCCGCCTCCCGTCGTCCCCCGCCCCTGAGGCCTGCTGCGCGCCGCCGGGAACTTTCGGCGGACGCTCGGCCGCTGACGTGCGGAGGCATCCTCCATCTCTGTTCTGGGTATGGGGGCGACTCCGCCTGTTCGAGAAGATCAGAAGGGACGTGTTCGAGCCCCCGGCAAGGAGAGGGGAAGAGGGGGGGGAGGAGCATAGGACAGGGAGGAGGCGAACAACAGTGTAGATGAGAAGCATCAGCAGGAGGAGGAGGAGGAGGAGGAGGAGGAGGAGGACACTGAGGAGGAGGTCGAAGAAATCGCCAGGAGGGTGGGAGAATCGTCAAAAGATTGGGCGCATACACCGCGCGACGCCAGAAGGCAAACCTCCAACAGACATCGGGAACCAGCACGACACTGTCGAGAACGAGCATGACATTGCGCACGACCACCACACTCTGGACCGCGTGCCGCTCACATCGATGGGAGAGTTAGCGGAGTGTGCCCTGGCTGAAATCCATGCCAATCTTGACGACACACAGCTGGCTGAGAGGATAGCAGGTCAGTACGAATCGTTTCCGCAAGCCGCCCACTCTATGCCCCCTCCCATCGATGACCAATCTGCGGATCACCTCCAGCAGGCGGCAGCGGTTCAGCAAAGCTGTTCGGGCCACCTACTGCTCCAACTCGGCGTTCCTGGCCCCCGGCGTCCGCCAGCTTGCGCTCGAGTCCCGCGACAAGCGAAGGATATCGGCCTCAACCGCCCCGATACGCAACGTGCAGCCCAGACGGAGCTCAAAACTTATATTGGAAACGTGGGTCTGGCTCGAGACGTCCGCCCATGCGCGGGCCAACGCGTGCCGAACCAACAGGCAGCGTGTCAACACTGACCTTTCGAACAAAGTACGTGTTGTGCTTCGAGCGTATCGGGGCAGCCGAAACATCGGCCGCAGGAGGAGCCTGCGTGGCAGCGGCCACGCACCTGTTCCGTCGGCGGCGACGGAGAGGCAGTCCGCTCCAGCGCGCGGCAGATCGGGGCAACCGAGTGGCGAAGTGGCCGGAATGCAAGAGGGGGGGAGAAAGACGAGAGCGGCCGCGCGGGGAAGGAGGCGGAAGCAGGAATGGCGGCGTTCCGCGAGCTCTAGTCGTCAAGCCGCCGTCTACCCCTCCAGTCCTGTGGGGGGGGTGGGGCAGCAACGGATGGGCCCGGCCTCGAAGAAGCCCGCGCAGGAGAGGGAGCCCGCCCAGGGAGCCCTCCGCCTGCGCGCCTCGGCCCTCTTGGCCTCGCGGCGGCGGCGGGCCTAGGCGCGCTCGGCGGCGACGAGTGCAAGCTGCTGGTCCGTGAGGGGGGGCGGGCGAAGGGAGGGCGGAGGAGGAGGCGAAGGGGAAGGGAAAACGCTCAGACGTGGAGGAGTTCCGAGTCGAGCAGCCGCGCCCACGCGCGTTCCCGGGCAGCGACGGGGCCCGCGCCGCCCGCGGATTGCCCGCGCGGCCCGGGGGAAGATGCAGGTCGGGCATGTCCTGCTACAGGCGGATTAGGGAAGAACCCTTAAAATGTCCACAAGTATTCAAACATAGTAAACGAGCGAAACTACATCCTCATATGATTTGTTGACCTCTTGTAGAGGGACATGCCCCACTTAAGGGAAGCAGCGCCCCACTCTGGGGGGGGGGGCTCTCTGCGGGCCTGCGGGGGCCGCGGGGCGGCGCCCTCCCGAGCGGCTGCGCGCGCGGCCCTGGAAGGGGGGGAGGGGGGGGGGGGGGGGGGGCGACCTGCGGTTGCGTCGCGCGCGCAGCGGGCGCCGCGCGCTGCGCCCGCGCCTCAAACCTCCAACACATGGGAAATGCTCAATAATAATAAGACACTTCGAAGACATTTCCCGAGGCGGCTGGGGTCGCGCGGAAGACGGGGGGGGGGGGCTCGCCGCGGCCCCACGGCCGCGCCCTCGCCTGAGGCCACCGCGCCTCGCGCGGGCCTGTCCCACAGGCGACAGCCCTTCTCGCGCAGGCAGCCGCCATGCCCTCGCAGGGCGGCCGCTGCCCGCGCGCGCCCTGTCGGGCGCCCCTTCTCGCGCGGTGGCTGCCGCTACCCTCGCAGCGCCCTTCTCGCCCGAGCTGGCAGCGTCCGCAGACGGGCTGCCGCTGCACTCGCCGAGGGCGGGGTCCACGGCAGCGGCAGGGCGTGCAAGGTTAGTACCAGAGAACCCTACCGCTAGCCGCGCCCGTCCCCTGGCGCCCCGCGCCGCAGCGCTTGGCCGGGCGCCCCCCCCCCCCCTCGCGACCCCTGCGTTTTGCGCGGGCGGTGTGACGCGCGGCCTGTGCAGCACCCTCTGCCGCTGCTCTGCCTCAGCCTCGCGCGCGGGCCACTGGCACGGCAGCCGCTCGCTGGCGATGGCCCGCCGCGCTGCCCACGTCGCCTGGCTGACCCCTCTCCCGCGCTCCTCCTCGCACGCGCTGCTCCCAGCGCTGCAGCTGGCGACATTGGGCTCTAGCTTCGCCTGCCCCTTCTCGCACGTCCTGGCCCCAACGCTGTAGCTGATGGTGCCAGGCTCGACCTTCGCCCCACACTTCCCGCACGCGCTGTTCCCAGGCTCGTCCACCGCCATCTGCTGCCACTGCCCGTCCTTCGCGCACTGCTCGCCCTTCTCGCACGCGCTGTGTCCGTCTTCGTGAGGCGTCCACTTCCCGGCCGCCGAAGGCTGCCACTGTCCGCCCACTTGAGGCTGCCGCTACCCGTCGTCGCCCTCTCGGCACTTCTCGCACTCCGAGTTCCCAGTGATGTGTCTGGAGTAGTTGGGCTCCAGCTTTGCCTCCTGTCTCCCACACGGCCCGCCTGTCCTGATCCCAGCGCTGTAGTTGATGAAGTTCGGCTCTGTCCTCGACTCCTGCTTCTCGCATGGCCCACCTGCCCTGACCCCAGCGCTTTAGCTGATGAAGTTGGGCTCCGTCCTCGTCTCCATTGTCTCGCCGTTGATGGTCCTTTCCCCAGCGCTGTAGCTGATGATGTTGGGCTCCGTCCTCGCCTCCAGTTTCTCGCAGCCTCTGATCCCCCCCAAATGCTGTAGCTGGCGGCGCCTGGCTCTGTCCTCGCCTCTCGCTTCTCGTGCGGACCGCCCAACCTGAACTCAGCGCTGTAGCTGATGCGGTGGAGCTCCACCCTCGCCCCCTGCTTCCCGCAGGCGCTGGCAACGAGCCCCCCCCCCCTCTCAGCACGTGTACCCAAGAGGAAGCCCCCCGCGGCGCCACTCTCCCGGAGTGCCCGACCAAGGCCTGCCACTGGCATTGTCCCCACGCCGTAGCTGATGGCGTCGGGCTACGTCCTCGCCTCCAGCTTCTCGCAGGCACTGGTCCCTATCCCAATGCTGTAGCTGTCCTCGGCCTCCCTGGCCTCCTCTGCCTTCTTAGCATCCGCGGCCTTCCTGGCCTCCTCTGCCTTGTCCGCGTAGCCCTGCATCCACTGCAGGCCCCACCACGGCTTTTCGGCTGTCGTCGCAGCCTCGCCCGCTCTGATCTCTGCGCTGCAGCGGACGCCGTCGGCTTCTACCTTCGCCTCCCAAGACTGCCACTGCGCGCTGATGAGCCAGCTGAAGTCCAGCTCCGTTTGCCTGCACGCTGCCAGGCGCAAGCGCCGCCACGCGCGCCGCGGGCTGCTGCTTGGGCGCCTCTCCCAACGTGGGGGCGCACACGGGCTCTCGCCTTCGGCCATCGGCGGCACCTGCCTTCGCGCCTTCCCTCGGCGCTGGGGGCGCCCCGTGTTCGCGGGCCCCGCCGCGCCCTCCGCGGGGCGAAACGGCTGCGCGGGGCCTCGCTGGGGAGCCACCTGGCCCAATAAGAATAAAGAGGAGGAGGAGGAGGAGGAGGAGGAGGAGGAGGAGGAGGAGGAGGGGGAGGAGGAGGAAAAAGAGGAGGACGAGGACGAGGACGAGAAGGAGTAGGAGAAGGAGGACGAGGACGAGGAGGAAGGGGCGACCGTAGCTTCCTGCAGAGGGCTCTGAGGCCCTCAGCGCGTGCATGGCAGTGGCCAGGAGCCCCGGGCCCGTAGCGCAAAGAGGCGCGGCGCTGGGCGAGGCGAGTGGAAACGCACGGCTTACTGTAGAAGTGATATGAAACAGCGATGTTCTTCACTGCAGCAGTGAGGGAATGCTCTGGGTCTGCGCGTTGCCCCGGAATCCCAAGGCCGATGCGGACGAGGGAGATCGGGCGAGAGGAACGAGCGGGGGAGAGCCAGGATGTGGAGGAAACGAGGGCAGGAGAGGTAATGGCCGAGACAGTCGGGGCCACCTTCGCAGCCGAGCAGACAAGTCTTGCGCGGGGCGTCGCCCAACGCTCTGCCGAATCTGCTGGTCTCTGGGAGCTGGGGATTAATTTGGCTAAGCGGCGGCTTAGGGCGTAAGCGATCTTGTCAGGGTAGAGGGGGTTGTGGAGGGTGGAGGAAATCGTTCGCTGGACCCTATCCCCCGTTGCGCGTGGCAGATAACATCGCGTCGTCGGCCGCGCGCATGGCTTTCTGGCGCACTCGGGATGGAACTTGGCAAGGCGGCTTCATGTCCGAGAAGAGAGCGCACCGAAACTCGGCAATCATAAAGCTTTTCCAAAACGCGGGCGCGACGGTGGCACGACTCCACGCCTGGGCCAGATCGGTCAGGAGGATCTCTGGGTTCAGCTGGCCTCGAGCATTGCAGAAAGCTTGAGAGCGAGCTTGCGATCCCGCGGTGGTAGTCTTCACCGGCCTGGGAGGCACGTGCGAGCGACAGCGGAACAAAAGCATGCGGGAAGGAGTTCCGCCCGCAGCTGGCTGACGTCCTTGAGCCCGTTATATTTCAGCTTGCTCTTGCGAGGGGACACGTGGGCACCATCGGGGGCTTTCTGCCATCGCTCAATACCTGCGGATGAATGAAAATCTGTCGGTGAAGCGCCTCGTTCCGCTCTGACTGGGCCAAGAAAAAAGCCACTATGTCCTTGACGATGGGGTGGCCCCCTGGGAATAGAGGCAGACCTCGGACGTATATCTCGCCTGTCACCATCGCGGTCTCTGCCTTGGTGCCGTGAACGGTTTCTGATTTGATCTCTTCCGGAGTGGCTATGCCCCTCTCGGTATCTATCATGATGATTCTGTCTACCGCTGACTGCGCTGCGACACTGGCTCTGGCTCTGAAAAGAAGCACTGCCGGTGTCAATGTCCGTTGTGAGTCATTCTGCAAGCATGCTGTACAAGTCCACGTCGTCTCTGTCCTGTGAAAACATTGAAAGCGGCGTCGCGCCAATGAATTGCTTGCGAGGGATCTGAATTGGCTGAAATGGCAACTGTGAGTTAGACATCTTCGATGGATATGAAGGCGGAACCGCAGCTGTGCAGCCTTGAAGACTGATGGACCACAGCGGCTACGGAAGAGGAGAGCAGGAGGAGGAGAAGGAGGAAGAGGTGGAGGGAGGTGGACGAGGGGGCGAGGTGGAGGAGGGGAAGGAGCAGGATGGATGAGGAAGAGGGAGGAGACGGAGAAGCGAGGAGGAGGCGGAGGAGCACGGAGGAGGGAGGATGGGAGGAATAGGAAGGAATTTGGATGAGGAACTTGGAGGAGGAACTTGGAGGAGGCAAAGGAGGAGAGGGATGAGGAGATTGAACGTAATAGCGGGAAGGGGGGAGGAAGAAGATCAGGAAGAGGGGTGGAGGAGGAAGAAGGGGGTGGAGGAAGAGATGTGAGGTGAGGTCCTGCCCTCAACGCGGCCCTTGGCCAGCACTGCCAGCTGGCACTCGATGGTCTGATTCCGCAGGGTGTCCGCGCACATGTCGTCGACCGCGTTCGCCAATATAAAATCATCCACCTCACAAGTCCACATCCCTCCCTACTGCTGAAATGCTGCTCTCATTTCCGCCGTCTCTCCTTTCTGCTGGTGGCCTGCCAGTTCGGCGTAAGTCTTCCTCCTCCTCCTTCTCCCCCTCCTCCTCATATTCCCCAATTCCACCCCACCCCAGAAATCTCACCGAACACTACGCATCATCGAAAGACAGATCATCCGCCTCTCCTGCTAGATGCTAAACAATGGGGTACGACGACGCGCCGTAGTCACTGAATACATTGCTCCCAGATCCTGCGAGGTTTTTAGCATTGGCTTTGCAGATGCCCATTAAGTGGTCTAGGGCCAAAAATTCTGGCTCTCGGAGCGACTCGCGTGACTTATTCAACACCTTCGGGGCGGTGCTTGAATTCCATGCTTCAAACATGTCCTTAGGTGGTCTCGATCCCCATCCTGTGCCTCTTTGGCCAACTTGGGTGGCCTGGGGCCGCACACACCCCGAAAAACATGAAGCGGGTGCGATCCAAATTAGGGGCATGCGTTGTTCTAAAAAATGTCTGTCGTACCAGTTCTGCGGGCGCAATGCAAGCCAACGCAATTCAACACATTGCTTGACATTGTGTGGCGGTGCTTGGTATCGCTTGGCATCGCTTGGCAAAGCTTGGTATTGCTTGGCGTTGCTTCGCATTGCTTGCCGTTGCTTGGCAATGATTTGATGTGCGTAGTTTTGCGAAGCATTTGTACGGACAAGCTTGGACAACCCTGAAGAACGCCAGTTTGGCACCCCAAAGGGCCCTACACCTTTTAGTTTCTCTCGCATACAAAGAAAAGCTCCCCTTATGCAAAGCCTACTTGAGGAACTTCTAACTACTCTTGAAACAAATCCCATGTTGCTCGGCAGTTTGGCCTTGAAACTCAAGAGCGCCCAAAAGACCCAAGAGCAAGGTCGCCCCAAGACGGCCCTCGATGCTGCCAAGGGGGCCCAAGGGGCCACCAAGACGGCCCTGCGAAGGGGAACTCGAACCGACACCTCGAGCTACACCTCCAGAACTCAAGATGGCCCCCCAGACCGCCAAGAGCGCTCCGGAGTGGGCCCCGGGGGCCCCAGCAGACCTCCAAGAG